TCTTTTTACTAACTCTCGAACATTTAAAAATTATATTAGGTTTTATTAATATAAAATTAAGTTTTTTTTTTTTTGGATTATCTGATCACCAACTAATATAGATTCAAATCGAATAGACCCAACAAACAACAAAACTTTCTCTTGCGAGTTTTAACGGAACTACATTCTCATGACTTGAAACCAAAATCTTTGATTAAGTTGAAAAAGTCCTCTACCAACTCTTTCATCCGCTTGTGAGTTAAAATTAAGTATGTTAGATCTCATTAAAAAAATTAAATTCAAAATTTTATTTAAAAAAATTAAATTCTTTTTATTTGAATTAATTCTAAATTATAAAATATTATTTCTACAAAATAACTCGCAATATAAATTAATTACTAACCATAAAAAGATATGAATTCATCAATCATGAATGATTTAAAAATCAAATAAAATTAATATAAAATCATATTTAAATTAACCAAAAAATTAATATTTTGTCTTATAAAAAATTTGAAAAAAATATCTCAAAACTTTATCATTGTAATAAAATTTCATTAACAAAACTAGAATATCTTAATTTTTAAAATATAAATAAAATTATTTTATTATTTTATAATATTTTATTAAAATAATATAATTTTAAAATAATTTTATTTAATTTTTAAAAAAACCGATATCAACGAATCTCTTAAATTAATCTACATACAATAAGTTTTCATCTTAATTAACCACTAGCTGGCTGGTAAATTTGTACCATCACTAGCTATAAATTTAAGACGGTGTGATGGCAGAGGGTATACAAATATTATAAAGTCTTCCAAATGATCAATGATGGTACAATTATGGATGGACAGGCTTCAAATCGGACAAGAATAGCTCCAGAAATTGACTCTTTGATTCATATGATGAGGCTTGTCTGCACTTCCGTGGATGGATTTAATGTTTCTAGAGGCAGCATCATAACCAAGGACATTGGATTCTCGACCTTATCTTCGCAGGGTCAATATAGCATTCAATTATGTTTTTTATCATTTAAGATTGATAAATATTACTAATTAAAAAAGACTACCAGCAGCCAGTCAAGTTGCTCCGACTATGTATATATTAACGGATATATAACAGAGATCTTAATTTGAATTTTGAGGCTAGTGGAAAAGATTTAATAAAAAATTTAACTTTTTTTTACTATATAATATGTGTTATTACAAAATTTTTAATTTTTTATTAAATTTTTTTTATATCTAAAAATTATATTAAATTTTAATTAATTTAAAATTAAATCAAATAAAATCTCATATGAATAAAAGTTTTCTTAATATTTATTTTTTTATTTATAAAACTTAAAATTAAAATTTTATTTTAAAAAAATAAATCTCTCAAACTAACAGTTCTTTGTTACTTCTTTAATTTATTAATATACTTGCTAATTCAAAATCCTAATCATGATTTCTGAAGTTGCGTCTCAACAGTTTCCAATAATTGAAATTGGGCTAAACGCTCTTTCTTAATTTGTAAACCAAAATTTTAAAATATGGAATGGTACAGGATAACAACAACAACTTCTCAAGAGGTAAAGAAATGATTCACAAACACCTACTCTAATTCTATTGCTTCTGTTTCAAGAATTTCTTATGTTATACGCGATGATCACCCCATTCATAGTGAATATGAAGCCAAGGACAATATCATCCACATTCACTCCTTTCTCCTTTTGCCAACTTTTTCTTTGACCCAAATAAACCTAACTTCTTAATTTTTCTTCACCTTTTTTTTATTTTCCTTGATCCTTGCTCTTTTAGGTTTTGCCTTTGCTAGCAGTCTAGTAGTCTCAAAAGCACCCTGTCCATCAAGTTGTGCATGGTTATATTACTACCGGGAGAAGTGCTTGAGGTCATTTCATGATGAGAAATCAAAGCTAGCATAGGGGATAAAAAAGTTCATAAACAAAACAGCCTTCATCTTTTCAGCTAAGTGGAGGCACGTCCCTTTGTACATTTGGAGCAATTTTCTCTTGTTGGGTGCTCCATCCATGACAGTGAGGTATGGACTATGAATAGTAAGTTTGAACTTTCTGTTTGTGGATGATCGATTCTGGCAGCACAAGGATTGGCCTCAGTGAAGAAAATGGATTCCTCCTAGAAATTTTTTTGTCAATATCTAGATTTTTCATCTGTGGAAGTTTGAAAAAAAAAAAAAGAAGAATTAAACACATCATATATTCTAGATCATTGGATTTCTTTTAGTACCGAACTAATGGTTATTAATTAATTTTCTTATAGTAGCAGTATTTTCTAACTTTCTTATAACCGAATGTTTTTTCAACCAATTTTCTATTAGAATTTTCTCAAGAAAGTGACAATCGTAAATAAAGTAGCATGATAGTAAAAAAATGGAATTTTATTCACCAAATTACTAAATTTTTTTTTTTTTAACATCGAGGACAGAATTATGTGGATCTAGCTATATTCTGCGGCATAATGATTAGTGATTCCATTTTATGGGGCAACTGGAAAGTGAAAAGTGATAAACTTTGAATTGAGTTTTCTTTTTCTTTTTTTTTTTTTT